GTTGCATCTTTCAGTTAACCTGGCATGCTAAGTGTGAGACAGCGGTGTCAAACTCAAGGCCTGGGGGCCAAACCGGCCGTGACTTAATTTTCTTGCCCACAGAGAGCTTGCCAAGAATATAATACTTTTACTTATCACGGTCTCAGCGCCGATTTACGAGCCGTTGGCCATAACCTACATGTCCGACAATGCATCGTCAATTAGGACTTTTTTCTCCGCATTTGATGTTTTTTCTTCAAAATATGCCTTTGGTTTTAGAATGTTGACTTTTTCTCGAGAATAGAGATGGTTTTTTCAAACGTTTTGCTTTTCCTTACCAAATCTTACCTTTCCCCCCCAAATTTCCTTTTTTCCTGCCCCTTTGGCTTTCTTTTTAAATCATTTCGTGACATTCTCCCGAAGGATTGCAACTTATTTGCCGAAGACTTCTGCTTTCAGACGTAGTTAAATATGAAGTTAACTTACCTATCCGATAAGAATCCAATGCAGAGCCAATAATGTAATAAGTAGACATCATCTTATATATGATTCCAAATACTTTACTACTAAAGTTTAAAGTTACAACGGCCCTTTTGAGTGCACCATAATTCCATGTGGCCCGTGATGAAATCTGAGTTTGAACACCCCTGGGTGTAGACAGCAGACAAGCCAACAGGAACAACGGAATGTTCGCAGATTTGAAAAAAATATGGTTTCTGAGCCTGATGCCCTGATGACAGTAGGAATACTTCTTTGTGACGTTTTAGCAAAGCTGCAGTGATGGAGGATGCTGCCTGGCTGGGTAGCGAACATTTAAGCGATGAGACATTTGGATGCGTGCATATTAACAACCTGACAACTCTTCTTGAATAGGTTGTCATTTACAGACGGTAGTTTTCAATTTTGCATGTCTCTGTACATTTAAAAGTTTTGGCAAGTATTTTCATACTGACATTCTGTACAAACTGTGAAGTCCACTGAGACAAATGTAACATTTGTGATATTGGGCTATATAAATAAACATTGATTGATTGATTGAAGTATTTACCTAGTGAATTATTTGTATTTTACGACCTGCATTAACATAAACCTCATTCATCTTTAATTAAAAATGCTGACGAGGTCCTGATTCAAGACCGTCATGTTATTTTACAGCATAGGTCAACATCCTATATCAAATATGTAAATGGTTAATATGCGGTGGGTTCGTTTTACTGCTCTGTAATGACATTATACCCAGGTAACCTTTCATCAACCTTGTGCTGTGCGCTGAGACAATACTCAGAGACAGTTATTGTTAGTTGAGAGTAAGCTCTAATGAGTAATCGCAATTATTTCATCATCCATTTTCTATTAGAGAGGAGTTGTTTTAATTAACAGATTCATTAAGTTAGTTCATTAATTTCCCCACAGGTGCCCCCGGATCCTCGGGAGAATTTCAAATCAATTCTGCTGCCTATTATTTAATATCAGAGCGAACAGTCGCTGAGATAAAGGGCAGGTTTGCATCTGGTTTTATTGTCCTGTGAGTTAGATTTAATGACGGCCAATAGAATAAAATAAAAATATGGTGGATGCTTTTTGTTAGGAGGGATCTAACTATCTAGGCTTCATACATAAATCTACAAATGAACCCCTGAGTTTAACCACTTCTAAATCCCATGGGTATATTTTACTGCAGTGTTTCCCGACAGTGTGCCAATCAAAATCCTCTCAGCATGCTGCTTAACTCCTTACTGACCATTGCACATCATTTCAGTGCATTTGCCGCGTGTTGCAGTCCTCTGCCTGCCCTCCAGCTGCATACAGTATCTGTCAGCCTGACACTTCTCTCAGCTGATGTATGCCGGATGCTATCTATCATTGCCACGACATTGCATAGCCCCTTCGGTTTGACACATTTGACAGACAGTGTCACCTATTAACGCCATCAGCTAGCTTGTTATCACTGTATCTGCAGTATTTAATGCTGAGTATACGGTTAAGTCACTGGAACACAGATCATTTTTAGTTCTTAGGATTGTCTTCATGAATATTACACCTGTGAATAGTCACCTGGCTCAAAAGGCTCAAAAGGCATCACGATGGAGGTGAAATGTTGGAAAGACATCGTAGGACACAGTGTTGGCCCACACCATCGATCACTCTTGCGGAGCAGATGACACAGTTCTCTCCCTCTCTCTGTCTTCCAGTTTATTAGTGCTGCCCAGAATATTTAACAGGGAAGAGAGCGCTCCCGTGGGATCTCATTTGCACAGGTGTCCATCTGGTAGGAGTTGTCTGGGATAATCTCCACATCATGTCACATTTGCATCATGAAAACAGCACACTCACTTCCTGTAAAGGGGGAGCGCTCGGCACTGGCCAGTTTCGAGCGGCGAGGGATTGTTTGCCGACACTGTAGCTAAGACCAGTGTGTGCTGTACTAATCCACGAGGCAGTTAATTCAGTGCAATTATGTTAGGATTTAACATGTTTGTAATTGTTTGTTTGTTCAGCTCAATTTGTGTAACCAGCTTTGGTTGGAAAATTAGCAATGAGATTTTCCTCAACACTGCCAATTTGTTTGGTGTTTTAACCAGCGGGGGGTGGGATTTCCTTCATTCGGGCCTGAGTGCTTGTCCACTATGACAGTCTTCTTAGCCGCTTTCACCAAAGAAAAGGTGCTCCTATTGAACCCATCGATCATTAAGGACCTTTGCTTTTATTTCCCTCTCTTCAAATAGCACAACGTTCCCGAGAATCAATGTGTTCATTGACTCCTGTGTCCTGTCCTGTGAATTACTCGAGCAACAGATTCAATCTCAAAATCGCTGTCTCATTAATGACCCAAACAGGAAAGAAGTAAATGCCAAGCAGCTGCATATTTACTTCTCATGTAACCGTGAAGCATCACTTTCTGATTCCCTACAAGGTTACACATGATAAAGCTCGACGCAGATTGGTTTAGTATTTAAAGACATGTGTTCTCAATACAGGAGCAACACAAATCACTATACTGCATTATACTGCATACACCAGGCGTTAAAATTAAGTGTTTATTCCACCGTGGATAAAAAACGCCCCGGTATCTGTGGCAAGCATACAGTCTTCAAACATTACAAGTGATCTTGCATTTTACTCCCATTCTCCCTTCGCGTTATAAATTCCCTTCTTTATGTATACGACCTGAGCAGTTGCAGTACATCAATTGCAGCAAGTAATTTTCTGCTAGCTCGCACTGTATCTGCTTAACGCGTGAAAACAAAACGCTCAATCAATCTTAGAGCGCTGTTGACATTCAAGGCTGTCGCTGCATGTTACCGACAGTGTCCCTTCCCCTTGTACACACACACACATATACACTATATATAGTATTTATACACACACTTTAGAGGTAGGCTCGTCATGCATCACTGGCATTGACACTTGAATGTGTCTATAATTGTCTGGATTAAGTGTCATATTGGATATGATGGTGCAACATTCAGCACTAAAGAACAGTTTTAGCCCCATTGTGAATTGTGGAAATAATAAATGTTTTTCCAGAGGAAGGCTTCTATACATCTGCCTCTGCTGCATTTAGCTATTCATATGTAATCTAATGAATGAGACTTTGAGTGTATGTGAAACCGGAGCTGGACTGCTTGCAGCTTTTGCTTCTGCCAAGACTTCATTATGATTTCTTTGTCCAACTGATTCATTAACCTTTTCTTTTTTCCTTTCTGCAGGAACTCGACATACTGCATGAAGGTGTCCATGTCTCTCACGGTGGCAGAGAACGACACAGACCTCTGCTTCAACTCCAAAATGAGGTTCTTTGAGAAGGCCGAACTGAGCAAAAACAAAGACATCACCTGCCCGAGCATCGATGATTATGTACAGCCAGGAGCGCAGCCAGATATCGTGTGGTACAAGGTAACATGCACCCTTTCTCTCAAATAACAACCACTGATTTAATTTCCTTTCAAAAGGCAGAGGTGCCCCGCTTTTGTCCGTCACCTTAAACCCATCACGCACATTATTAAAAAGCTTCTTTAAAGAAGAGTAACCTCGTTAAGGTCAGCTTCATTCAGATTTTAATGAACTTCAAGCACCATGACTTTTGAAGCATTTATTAAATAAATATATATCTGACAGAGACTAATCTATTCACCGTGTACAGTCACATCTAGCTTTCTCCTACGCCCACAGTGTAACTGACCCGCGCAGACCTCCTCGTGTCCAACAGGCCACTTTGATGGAGCTGTTCGGCGGAGCTCGGGGGCCAATTCATCAAACGTTAAAGTGTGCTGGACTAGGTGGCCAAAAAGCTTCTTCAGTTTCCCATTGAATCAAATGAAAGTAGCAGATAATGACTGTGGGCTCCACACCCTCTGGTTATTTGCTCTCGCTGTGTCGGTGTGGGCTGATTTAATTCTGGGAGGCCTCTCTTGGACCACAGTTCGAAACCATCCCACAGTGGCCCAGTTTTCCTTTGCCTCAGGTGTTCTGTGACCCTTTTTTTTAAGACAAAAAACTGTAATGTGTGACAGCAGTGGACTCAAATGACCATGATCTAAGGAATTGAACCATTTCAGAAGTGCTTTACGAGCTTTTAATGATCAAGTATCCTCCTGTTTACATCGTTAACTGCTTTCTATGGGGTTGAAATAAAGCTGTAGATGCTACTAAGAACTTGTACATGAACTGAGTAATTAATTTAAGAGTAGCTGATGCAATTCAATCAACATTAGTAGAATGATAAACAGCCGTTCATCCCCCAAACATCTTTTTTAAAGAATGTTAGTGTGCAGCAAGAATGCACCGAACAAATGTAAGCAATAACTCGTGTATTTACGCGGAGTCTTTTTACCTTTAGCTGTGTGAAAAGCCGCTCTAAAAGCATGTTTACTAAAATAGGTCTCTCTTTGGATTCAAAGTTCATACAACTAGAAGAGTTTCATGTTAAATAAAAGCGTATTCCTGTTGATTTTGACATTTTGTACCCTGTGTTTACATAATAAAGGAATGCAAACCAAAGCAGTGGAGACAAACCATAGAAAGGAAAAGGGACACTCTCTCCATCAAGGACGTACGGGAAGATGACATTGGGAATTACACCTGCGAATTAGAGTTTGGGAACTTTTTGGTAAGAAGGACGACTGAGCTGTCCGTCACAGGTAAGGAAGTCTCTCTTTAATGCTGCAAATTGTTTGATTGCAGAGTCACCTCCTGTTCATGTTGTTAAGTTGTGTCTTAATGCAAACATATTTATATTTAATGCTTTTCTAAACTAAACTATTTCCAAAAAAAGCATATTCTCATTGTTGCTCAGGCCTATGTAAACATTGTCTATAACAAAAAAAAGACATTCTGGTTAAATAATTGAAGGATTTTAAAGCTGATCTGTGCACCTTTTCCCAAGGTGTCGCCCTCAATGGCGTCACTGTCTCTCTGTGACTGCTAGGGCCGCTTTAATTGCAAAGTAGTGGATTTCACATAGAACCACATCAGCACTTTTTCTTAAGGCTGTTCAAATATTTAAGCTTGAACCTAAAGTGGGTGACAGATTGCCTCGCGCTGACACCGCCACAGACAGGTTGACAAAGCAGGCGCTGTAGAGCAGGGAATGTTACCACTTAATTATACACTCCTCTTCTTTTTAGGGTACCTGATTGGGAAATAGTTGTAGATGTTGCCCTGAGTGTTTATTTAAATTAAGGATCGATATATCGACCTGAAGGGGCCCTTTAATGCCAATATTTGTATGTAGTGTCTCTACTGTGACATGTCTCCTTGCTTTAATGTTCAAAAAGCTCTTTATTTTTCTCGTACTGCCTGTGCTGCATCACCTCTTTTCACCCTCTGTCTGGAACCAGAGCCCAGTCTGTTCTGATTGGTTAGTTGGCTGGCTGTGTTCCATAGAGATGTCAGGGAGTATGTGGGTGAGAATTGCAGACCACTTACAAAGCCTTTTAACCATAATACAGCAAAGGGAAAAACCCATAGTATGGCCTCTTTAATATAGTATATCCACGTTCTTCCTATAGCACACTGACATCATAGAAATAACCACGTTAAAGTCACTCAATTTAAAAAGGACCTATAACTTAGAAAAGTGGAGCTCACATTCATTTGAGAAAAAAGTTTTCTCGGGCTATTCAAACAACAACAGCTCCTCTCCGTCTTTGTGAGAGATTTGGCTGAGCTCGATTTTTATATGGTGACATACGTCTGCAAGGATGCGAACAAATGACGGATGACGCAGACTGAATCAAACACAGAGAAGTGGAGAGGTTCTGGATGGATACAGCGGCTGTTGCATTGTGGGCGTGAGGGTCAGACAAAGTGTTTGCTGTAACCGCGTCTTGATTACACTTTATAGTCTCCTTTAAAGAGACGAAGACAGACTCCAGTGAGGGGCGAGCTAAGCCATAAATCATTTTCTCACCAGCCTCAAAATGTCATCCTGGGGGGACTAGTCTTAATCTCTCTATCTACTTTGGAGACATTAAGCATTTTAAAAGAGGTGGCAGAAGATGATTGATGATTGGGCCATGGCATTTATGGTTTTCTCAGGAAGAAAGATACTCGTCCACCTGTGTCTGTCTGGGTTTACTCCCACATCTAGTCGGCCTGTAGGTGTGAATGTGTCTCTTTTTGGTCTTTTGATAAACTGGCAACCTCTCGCCCAATGGATGCTGGGAAAGGCTCCGCTTTTCCAAACCTGCAATAAAGAAACTAGGTATTGTCACGGTTTTAAGTTTGTGTGTCTGGTAGTGGGTGTTTTTCTGTTCTCCTTGTCATGTTTTCCTCCCTTTATATTGTCTGGTCTTTTTTCCCTGTGTTTTCCTGTCTGTCGTTAGTTTTCCCTCTAATTTCCTGATTGTCACCCCTTCAGTGTCTCCTGTGCTAATCAGCGTCAGCCCCGCCCCTGATTATTCCCACCTGTGTCTTGTTACCCTGTGTTTAAATTCTCCCAGTGTTACTTATCCCCTGGTTGCTGATAGTTGAGAAAATACAAACTGAACATGCAAGTCATGTTAGGGGATATTTAATCCATCATCAAGTTACAGAGG